CCCCATCGCGCTGGTCCCGTACTTTGTTATCCCATTGTCGAAGGCTCCGCCCTGGCCACCAGCAAGGGCCTCGAGCGGGAGGAGGAGCGGTCGACCACCCAACCCTCGGATACGGCTAAGTTGCGGCAAGAGGCCGCCGCCGCGTGGTCGGCCTTCGAACGCTTCACCTTCACCACGGGCAAGGGCCTCGATCGCGAGGAGTTCACCCCCGACTCTCCCGTGACGGCCAGGTTGCGGCAAGAGGCCGAGTCGTCGTCGTCGTCGTCGTCCTCCACGTTGACGACGCCGAGCTCCCGCTTCCCCTGCGAGATACGCTCGTCGATCCGCTGTGTCGAGGTCAACGCCCGGACGCACTCGACCTCTACCTCCTCTGACCCCGCCGTGCCCACCGTACGTTTCGGTCGCGGCGCCGGGCGTGAGCGCCACCCCTTTGGGCCCCCGAGCCGGGGCGTGCGTCGGCGGCGGCGGCTCCTCCGCTGCCTCGCTTCTGGGGCCTCTCTGTTTCCTCTGCAACAGATCGTGGCCGTTTCCGAGCGGGGTTTTCGGCGCGTGGCGGTGATGAGACGTGACTGTGCCACGCGTATGAAAAATGCAAGCAACGAGCAGTCGAAATTGAATGACACACGGCAGCGATGATACGCAACGCTTAAGGCCGACAGGAGCGTTACTTATATCCAGAACTTGTGGCGGAGAAGGAAGATCACCTACTAGTCTACACAGGCTGCAAATGTGCGTGTTTGTTTGTGTTCGTTCCATGTTGTTGTTGGCGCCAGTCTAGACTACTCAAATTTCGGTGTTGTGTGTAATTGACCCATCAGCCGAGGTCACACAGAAGAAAGGCCAAACAGGAGATGTGTGGAATCCACCCCCAACGGCAAGTTGTTTGTCATTCCGGAGAGAGTATATCGATTCGCAACCTGCTGCCGTAGGTTACGAGGCGAATCATTAGACCACGGAGGCGGAAGGTGGCCACAGAAGTGGGTTCCTGTGGGAAACCACGATGACAAGGGTGCGTCCCGTTGTCTTTCGGCCTTATTTCGGACATGCGGGAGACGAAAACTGGGTGTTACACCGGTTTCCAGAGAGCTATGATTGAGGTGCTCTCATGACCGCACCTTCTAACTCTACAGGCTGGGGTACCGATGTTCCACCTTCGCAGCTCCTGCCTGACTTTCCGTTGTAAGCCGAAATGTTGTTCAGCACGGCAACGACAGAGGGGTGCAATCATCAATGAGCTGTGACAGCAGTACAGCCAGGAATGTTCTATTCCAATTCCACCAGTAGGTTGGGTAACCGGCACAAATGCTGTGAGCTCTGATTTGTGAATGAAGTCGACACAAAAAAAAGCATCCAAGAATGAGCGCTGAGCACCTAGTCTAGATAGAATGAACGAGCGATGGATTTTCGGCGAACAGAACGGGGGGCAACGTGGAAGGCCAAGACATTCGAGTGTTACTGGTCGTACCCTATACTGTAGACACACATAGGATACAACCAGGGATCTGGATGCCTCACGAACTCCGCAGGAAGTCTGTTCTTCTAGTCCGAGGAATTTATCCAAAAAATGAGCCACCGGATGTTGCGAAAATCGACATGCATGTATCTTCGAGATCCATCCGGATGCTCGTATGCATAGCTATTATAAGAGGTGGTCCTTAAAAAAAAAGAAAAATTTGGCCTGTAACACAGCGGTGCAGGCGCTACCTCCGCAAGAGCTGCTCTAACTGACAGCCGGAGCTATGACTAGTCTACCCGCTGTTCCCGACCGCTGTACGACCTCTCGCGGCCGGCCGACCTCCCCACGACGGAATCTTCAAACAGCGTAGCCTTTGGGTTCTGCACCCCCACACTAGTAGCCCACACAAGACTATAGGTATCCTGCACCTCCCCCTGCTCCTCCTCTGTTCCCGGGATTCGTCACGTCACTCCGTGTCTTGCGCTCGTTGTACTCGTAGTATCCCTCACTCGCAGCGATCTTGGGGGCGATGTCGTGGTTCGTGTTGTACATCCGCCGCCGTGCGTCGCTGAAAGTCTCGTGCCGAATGCCGAGACTGTTGGCTCGCTCGGCAAGGCTCACTCCACCAGACTCAACGGGCTTGCACCGCTGGCCGGCGTGGCACACGTCCGACACGTGTGCTCTCCCGCTCCGGCTGCTGCAGCGAGCGCTGTCTGGAAAGTGGTCCGCCCTACAGCTGTTGCAGTGCTGCTTCAGCGCTTGCAACGACGCGCGGAGTGCACGAGTGTTGGCCGCGTCGATCGCAGCCACCTTAGCTGCTGCCTGCTCTGCCGCGCCAGTATCCAGCATGGCCCGTACTCGCTCTATCAACACGGGGTCGTTCTGCATCAAATCCATCGCGCTAGAGCGACGCTCGTCCGCAACCTGCGTACGACGTATCAGTAGTTATATTGGAGGAGTCGGGGGAACATATGAGTGAGCGACAAATAAACACCACGGTAGCAGCGTCATTGCAGCAGTTACAGCAGTCACCATACCCGTGCAGCTTACAATGCCCTTGCTGTGCTTAAGATATCGACGTGGTGGAATGGACCTCAATTTGGGGGCGAAGAGGACGGGCAGCGCGTGTACCCAATTTCAAATTCAAGACAAGAGCAGCTGGCATGAACTGGCGCGCCAGGTAGAGCGCAGTCAATCAAGCACTAGAACACCTTTCAGCAGCAACTCAGCAGCGACTCAAAACTCACCGCTTCCTCCCGCGAAGTCTCTGGGGTAGCACCGCTTCTAGTCCCGCCATCATGAGCCAATGCTAGAGGGTCGGAGAGAGCTGCGTCCGCCCCCTTGCGCTTCGCCTTCTTCGCCGCAGCAGATGAAGCAGCAGCAGCAGCAGCAGGCTGTCGTTTCCCGCGTTTCGATGCTCTCTCTCGGATGCCTTCAACATGCTCTCTACCCGTTTCGAGGAGCTCAACTTCATCAGCAAACACAGATTGCATGGGTTTTCCAGCTGCCTCGGTGGTACCCTTTCTCAACAGCTGGCTGATAAGCAGTATCCCGCGGCTGTGCTTCTTCCGCTGCTGTCTCACTACCCTCTCTTCCCCTCGGATTTCGATTGTGCGGTCTACCTGCATGAGGCTGCCACGAGCCACGGCCAGGCCCAAGTCGAGACGGCCGTCCTAGAACGAGATTAGGTCTGATGACCCCGAGAGTGGTGTCCTCTATATGTAATTCGACCAAGCGGAGTCGATTGCCGTGGAGAACGAGACTTGAGTCGGCGATGTTTGGGGTGAAACAGGATGCGCCGCATCGTTTATATTGAAAAATGCGGGGAGTTTTTTTATATTTTCTTAGTATCACACAACAAATCCGTCTCTACTTTTTTTTTTTTTGCCTTCCAACAATTGCAGATGTACCTCAGAAAACTTTCACTTAATGTCTCATACTCTACATGAATATTAAACCAATACGAAGTACAACATATGTAGGACTTGTTTCTACTGTCACTTACATCGTAAAAATATCTCCTATTCAACTTGAAATAAAACCAATGACAATCCTCATGGGATCCTATAGTCTATGCGTTCGTAAGCTTGCTAAAATACTACTGCGTTGATGTCCTCTTGAAAAAGCTGAAATCCAACAAATGCTTTGATCCATGGCTCCGTGTTGGAAAAGCCCTTTCTTCTCCGTTCATGATAACATCTTACCCTATTCTACGCAAATCTGTCACATCGAATCTCAAACAAGACGCCAACTTTAAACGAAAACGCGTTCTTCGATGCGTCTACACTCCATCCCCATATCATTGGCGTTGACTGGTTCGAGGTCGATCTTGTTCGCCTGTTTTCGGCGTCTTGACGCCCGCGCAATGCGAGCTTGTACCTCTGCACTCGCCGAGATATGGCCACCTGTGTAGCCACCGAAACGATCTGAAGAAGTCGTTCCTTGAAGACTCCTTTCAGAGCGATCGTTCCTCCGTCCCTTCCTCCCACGGCATGTGTCGCAAGTTCATCGATGAACTCGTAACCCTCCTCTCCCGGACGAGCGTAGTGCTGACGCTTTCGCGCCTCGGATGCTTGGGCTGCGGTTCCATCGCTGGTCGCGCTGCCGTTCCGCAAGTGTACCTGTGCTTGTGGGTCTGCGTGTATGACATCGAGGAGTATTCCTTTGTTGCGGTACCCCGGAGAAGATGCGTTCGTGAGGGCTCCTGGCCTGATGACGATGTCCATGCTCAGGTTTCTTTCCCCCGTGAACGGTGCCCCGCTTTCAACGTCGTGTTTGACGCGAAGGCCGTTGAGTGCTCTCGATAGTGCGTATTTTAACGGCTCGTGCATGTTGACCTGTGCTCCATCCCTTGGACAGGTCCTTGCGTGCACCGTTGTGATGATCTCGCCTTCCCTGCCTCTGTGGCACCTGGGACATCTTTCCGCCAAGAATTCTTCAACTCCCAAGGCGCGTCTCGTCGCGTAGACGAATTCGTTCGATGGAATCTCTCGAGCTCGGTCGGAGGGAGCCGCTCTGAGGGACGCGTGTCCCCCTTGCCCTTGCGAGCTTCTCGTTCGTGCGTATGCCACGCTGAAAAGTGTAGGACACGTCTCACCACGAAAAATGCGGGGACTGTCGCCATAATAAATAGGACGAAAACACACACACACACACAGCCGGTTAGCGCGGTCGATGCTAATAATAAAAACACGCACACACACACTAAGGATATCTGCTTGTGAATCGACGTCGTGGTCGTCGGAATATCAACAGTTTCGCGGAGAGAGCCGCGAGAGAAGGCCTGATTTTTTTTTTTTTTTCCAGGCGCTACACCAGTAAAAAATCGCCAGGAAATCGCTAGCACTTACTTGCAACATGGGGTCCCATGCATGCATGGTCTACATGTACACCTGCTGGTGACCACAGTTACATCACCCGATCCGACGAACGCGAAACATGCCCTCCCGCGCGGATCTCGAAGGGGCAACAACGGGGGGGCAGCTAACATGGTGCATGTCGTTGCATAGTCGCTGGTATTGACCCCTGGGCCCATCGTGCTTTCCCGCAAGTCACTCAGACGCCCAACATTACCCCGCGCTGGCATACGGAACACCAGTTGCTGGGGTATCTACTTCGGAAAGTTTCGGTGTGGGGAGAGATAACCACCTCTAGATGGGGGGTCCTCCTGGCGTTACAGTCCTTGGCAGCTTGCTCGCAATGCGGGTAACAGCGTCGGTCCGACCAGCCCTCAGTCAGTGAGTGGGCCATTGGGGGGCGGTGGCCTGGCCTTGAACGTCTCATCGACATCGATCTTGCTATCGCACTGCTTGCAATACTCATAATTCCAATTGCACACGAGTTGCTGATACCCCGCCTCTCCTTGGTGTGACATGGTGACACTTGGGCTCTCACGATTGCCATTTGTAAAGAGTAAACAGAGTCCAAGGGATGAGGGCGCGTGCGTCGGCTATTCCTCATAAAAAGAAAGCGGGATGTTGAACCTGCTGAGCGGTGAGTTGTTCCGAATAGTAACACGCAAGCCCACGTAGAACCTTTGGAAAACCCCTCAGACCAATCAGAGGCCTACACGGCGGGGCCACGGAGCCATAGATCATAGACGGAGCCGAGCCATCCGGCTTGCCGCTGCCCTCTGTTCTCTTGCACTGAGCCCACCCATTTCAGAGTAGCCATGTCTGACGGAGAGGGGGAGGAGAGAACTGGTGGGGAAAGCAAGGGTGGGGAAGGGCGAGGAGGAGTCAAGAACCACAAGAAGTACAGGAAGGACAAGCCATGGGACAGCGCCTCCATCGACCACTGGTCCATCCCTGACTGGAAGGACGATAACATGAAGGTACGTATGCTACGTTCGTTGAGGATTTGAGAGCACCTCCATCCTGCTGTCGCAGCCCAAAGCACAAGAAGCTGTTTGGCTTCGTGAGCCGTGCCTAACAGATGCGGCACTTGTTTGCCGCAGCGAGCGAGTGCTGAGTGTCGAGCGAGCTGGCTCTACTGCACTCACTGCTGTCAATTGTACCGGAACCCTCTGTTGTTGTTGTTTTCACAACAGTGGACAAAAAAAAGGGTTAACTGTACCTGCTGTGTGTCGCAGGCCCACCTACAGGAGTAGATGCATCTACTGCAACTATTTGGTACTACCCCGAACCGTACATGCAGTCCTAGCTCAAGAAATGGGACAGGGACAGGTTCTTGACGTTAGGTGCTCTATTATAGTGGCTTTTTTGACTAGGCCTTCTGTGAAGAGTAAGGACATACCGCCTTGGAGCATCACCCGTTGCAGGGAGTCGGCCCCAACGCACGTTGGAGAGATGGCGCCTTTGTTAATGGTAGAATCCGCAACAGGGCGCATATGCTTCGTTGTTGGCATACTGAAAAGTGTGCGCCCCGTGGTATGCATACGTGCGGCCATTATTTTTTAGAAGGGGCCAGCTAAGCAATGTCGTTCTACGACTCGCGTGCCAGAGGGTTTTAGCCCATGGGGGTGGGCAAAAGATCGTGTGGAAGTCACTAATGGGCTGGTCTGAGCTGCACATGGACGAAAGGGACGGAGCCGAGAAGGAGATACAGAAACTTGATGGATGTGGCACGGTCGTGGCTTGCCGCACAAGATAGCAGGTAGCACTACTATCTGTAAATTGCAGAGAGGAAACAATCGCCATCCTTAGGCATGGATGGTCGCCTGAAAGGAACACCAAGCAGGATCGGGACAAAGCCGCACAACGGTTCGGCGAAAACGCGCCGCCGCGATTTATTGAATTGGAACTAGAAATAATTCCGGAAGTGGTGCTAGGAACGGAGCAAGCTGCGATGCTTAGTGTCGAAAGGGATGCGTGACCAGTGAATGATCATTCGGCAGTTTCCGCCAATCAGCACATGAGGATAAACCACTCACCGCCTCCTGTGCGTCGTCTGTTTTTCGCCACGCGTGGCACAAACATACAAAATTGCGCAGTCCGGTCTGCTGGAGGAGAGCAGCTTCGCAACGCTTTTCCCGAAATACCGAGAGAAGTATCTGAGGGAGGTCTGGCCAATCGTTACTAAGGCGCTCCAGGTATTGTTTTCCACCGACGCAATGCCCTCGTCGTTTTTTAATGTGCCAAATTCCGTTCTTTTATTCCGTGTATGATGGTATACAACCCATTTACTCCTGTTGAACGGGTTGTATTCTGGAGGTGTCCACTTCGGCTATACGTGATGCCAGCGCAAAACAAGTCGATGATCTGGGTGTCTTTGAAGTATCTCGTTCGATACACGAAAGAGAGCTCTCGGACAAACAGCTTCATGAGGTGATTGGGGGGGGGGGGGG